GCCCCGCCCCTCCCACCTCCCGGGGTCTGCCCGCCTCGTCCCGCCCCTCGCCTTGCGGGGGCGGGGCCGGGGCGGGGCGCAGGTGCGGAGCCCGCGACCCGGAGAGAATATATTCCGGGGCTCGGTCTCCTTCCCTCCCCAAGGAAGCGTCCTTGCCCTCATTTGAGTCACCTGAACAGTTTGGGGCCTCAGCGTTCTGTTACCCAGCAGAGGTGTGTCCCAGGGAGGCAGGGGCTGGAGACCCAGGTCTTAGAGGATCAGACACAGTGGGTCTTAAGTCAGGGGCCCCCACCCCAAACATATTTCCCCTTGCTGACTGGCCTTCATGCTTCCACTCTGCAGGAACCACTGGAAGACACGCAAAGCTTCAGGAGAAACCGGGACAGAAATAACTCATGAGGCTCACCAGGGGTTCTCCCCTTGGAGGTGAGGCGGGCAGGGCTAGGCTGCTTCACAGCTGCAGCTGACAGAACACGCGGGAGTCAGGGAACCTGGACTTGGGCTGCAGCGGATGGGGGCGGGGTTCATCCCAGCTGCACCTGAGTAAGATCTGGAGGCTCAGCCTTTCCCTCTCCCCAAGAGGAGCATGGGCTGGGTTCCACGAAGGCCAAGCTGGATGGCAGGAGGAGCCTGGGCCTCCAGCAGGTGGGACAGGGCTCAAGGAACTGATGCGTATAGAGCATCTGCTCTGTGAAGGCACCTGACATGGGCTGGCTCCTTTCACCCACCCAACAGCTCTGAGGGGTGGGGGTGGTCTCATTTTACAGCTGAAGAAACTGAAGCTTAGAGAGGCTAAGGGGGCCATGGCCAGGATTCAAATTCAGGTCTGAGGCCGCTGACCATGATGCTCCCCGACCTCCAGCCCACTGAGCCGAGCAAGCCTGCTGCTGACGTCTCTTTATTTCCATCTTGGTCTCCACTGCAAGCCCACCCCCAGGGCTCCAGGCCCCAAGCTCTGCAGCAGACAGTTTATACATAAATAAATTACAAAAGCGGGTGGAGGGAGTGGCCCCGGACAGCCCTCCCAGGGGCAGGTGGCTTAGTGCTCCGTGAGCGACAGCTGAAGGATCCGCTGTAAGTCTTCCTCCTCCTGCTGCCCCCGCCGCTCCCGCTCCTCCTGCTCCCGCGAAGACAATTCCAGGGCCAGGCGAAGCTGCTCCTCAAAGCTTGGGGGGGCTGGGGCCATCCTATGTGAGGACCCCAGGCCCCTGGGCTCTGTGGAGAGCCGCAGGCTTTCCTGGAGGGCCCTTCCAAGCAAGGTGTAAGAGGGAAGAGCAGACCAGTGAGTGCTAAGGCTGGGGGAGGGGGCCAAGAGGCTGGGGACTTAGCTTTGGAAGAGAAGGACAGGGTGGCAAGGAGAAGAGACAAGACAGGGCACTATCTCCCTATCCCTCATGCCACTTTTGGTGGCGGGCAGCACGCCTGATGGACGGTGGCCTTGAGAGGGCATGGGGTCCTGGGGCCAACACTTCCCTGCTCCCCACCCCTATCCCGCGAGCCAGGGCCAGCTGGGTGCTCGAGCCAGAGTGGGGCAAGAGCGGGACCCAGTAGGTCCTACAAGGGCCTCACCGCTCCAGCTGAAGCTGCTCCTCATAAACTGTGGCCTGGGGAGGAGGGTGGGCACCAGGCCGGGTGTTGGTCAGGGCTTCCCAGACAGTCACCTGCAGCCGCCAGAGCCCAGAGCTGTCACCTCTACCCTGTGGCTGCAGAGGCCAGGGGCCCACCCCCTGCCTGAGTCGCACCTGCTCTGCCTCTGTGCCCGCCTCAAGCAGGCTCTGCTGGATGGCGAATTGCAGCAGGTCGTCGTCCTCGTCACGAAGGGGCTCACTGCGCTCTGTGCCCAGCACACTGTACCCCTTGGGCACCTCAAACACCGTGGGGTCCACCTCGCATGGGAAAGGGCCCCCTGGGCAGATGGCAGAAGGGCCATGCTCAACCCCCAGGGCTCAGGACCAGAGAGCCGCACAGCCTCCCTCTTCCTCTCACGGCGGTACCTGAAGCTGCAACAGCAGAGCTGGGGGCCGGCACCCACACTGAGCTCAGGGGCTCGTCACAGCCACACAGGTTGCTGAAGGTGATGCGGGCGTTGAGCACGTGGAAAAGGGGAATCTCTGAGGAGACAGCCATGCCTGAGCCGCCCTGCGGAGACCCCCCTGCGCCTGACCCCCAGCCCCGCACCCACCCTGCTCTGCAGGAGCGGCCCCCCGCTACCCCGAGCCCACCCGCTCACCAATCTTGACCGGGAAGCCGGGAGGGAGGCGGAGGGTGATGAAGTCACGCAACTTGGCAAAGTGGGCGTTGCTGATGGCCATCAGGTCAATGATGGGCGTCACCTGGTCGCCCAGGGAGAGTGGGTGCTCCTCACTGAGCCACAGTGTGGCCTTGAACCTGCCCAGCCGACCACGCACGTGGGTGAGGAACCTCGGGCGGCGCTTCCACTCAGGCCACCCCCTCTGAGCCCTGCCTTCGCTCGCACCTTCTGCCCGGTCTGGGGTGCCCTGCTCTCCGCTCACGTGCCCCCACCTGCCTCTTCCAGGAGTTGTGTACTGGACCCCTGGCCCGAGCTGCCCCCATACCCTGGGCCCACACTGGGGCTCATGATGGTCTTGTGCCAGCTCATCTGGTCTGGAAGAAGGGGGCAGGGCCAGGCTGTGGGCTCCTCTCGGGGCCTCATCCACAGCCTCTTCCTCAGGACAGAGCTGGCCAGCACCTCACACTCAGCCATACTTTTATGTCCTCACAGCCCAAGGGTCAAGACTGCCGGGGCACGAATCCCAGCTCCATCACGGGTGGCTCACAGGATCCACACAAGGTAGCTGGGGGAGTGCTGGGCCTGCTGAAAGCACTATGTGTCCATTGTCACCACTTACACCCAGAGCTGGCCAGCACCTCACACTCAGCCACACTTTTATGTCCTCACAGCCCAAGGGTCAAGACTGCCGGGGCACGAATCCCAGCTCCATCACGGGTGGCTCACAGGATCCACACGAGGTAGCTGGGGGAGTGCTGGGCCTGCTGAAAGCACTATGTGTCCATTGTCACCACTTACACCTGCTCATCACACCCTCATGAGGCAGGTGGGCCAACAAGTGTAAGTGTTCTCGTTCCACTGAAGAAGAAACTAGACTTGGGGAGGGGAAGACATTTCCTTGGGCCCAGCAGCAGAGCCCCAGGCCCCTCCCATGGGCCCTTCCGGCTCCATCATGTGCTGGTCCCCAGCAAGTGCTCATCAAATTGTATAGAAAACCATAGGTGGGTGGTGCCACTCATTCATTCATTCATCAAAGAAGCATGGCCAGTTCTCTGGGCCAAGCCCTGTGCTGGGTGCTGAAGACCATGGATAAGACAGACATGGTTCCTGCCCTCAAGGAGCACGGTCCAGAGAGAAGCCAGCTGGGTGAGCAGGTCCCTCACTATGATGGGCCCCGTGTGTGACAGCAGTCTGCAAGGGTCCAGGCAGGGTTCCCATTTCTGAGGGAAGTCCACAGCCAGCTCCCAGACCTTACCTCTGTACTTTGCTGGACATCTCGATGGGGCGGCCGATGTTTCGTGACTCCAGGCTGAAGTTGGGGTCGAAGTATTCATCAGGCGAAATAGCTGTGGGGTTGGTGGGGCTGGCTGCCTGCTGCACAGGAGCCTGGGGTGGGCCCCAGGACAGCACTTAGCACTCAGGATGGCCCACTGGCCCCTCCTGGCCCAGCCCTCCACCCCCAGCCCTGGCTCACCCCATTGTGAGAGGAGTGTTGCTGGGCCATCCCCAGGAAGGACTGGAATGGAGTCTTCCCCCCTAAAGAGAAGGGGTAGGAGCCCATGAGGGGACTTTGTGCTACTGT